ACGGTATTAAGGGAGAGTGAGTGAGGGTGGGTGGGTAGGGAACCGTTAGTTATTTGTGTGATTATATACAGAAAATAATTGATGATAAAACATACCGTTCCTCTAAAAAAAAATAAAATAAAAATAATAGGAATGATATACTCATTGTATAGTATTTATGTATTATACTGTAATATTTATATTCATAATGTGAATATATAAATATATATAGAATATATTATTGAATATTTACGGGAATTATTATCCACCAAATTTTTTTTAAAGAAAAAATCAATGTCTAAATTCTAAAAAAAAATGTTTACAACAAATTTTCTCTCTTAATTTTTTTGTTTATTTGTTATCTTTATATTTGTTTTTTTTAAATATATTATAGCTTTTTAAGTGTTTAACTAATTTATAATAATAATAATAGTAATAATTAATTTAGCCATTAATTATTATTATAAATTTGACAACAAATTTATTATTGTAATAGTTTTTTTTTGTTAGTCTATATTTATTTATTTTTTAAATAATAATTATTAGTGTATTTTTAAGTCAACTATTACAGTAATGATTAATTAATTTATTATTATTATTATTATTATTATTATTACTTACCTAGTAGAATTATTGTATTTAGTGTATTGTCTATACAATACAGTATATTTATTTATATATTTTTATTGACAATTAATTTACCGTAAATGTGCTGCTAATCATAGCCACACAAATAATTTATATACACAAATTAGTAAATGACAAATAAATAATAATAATATAAATTATTTGTATTTAATTTTAAATTTTTAAAAAATATTGTATTTAATATTTTTTATTATTGAGATAATTATTAAAAATAAAAACTTAAAATTAACGTAAATTTAATTATTTTTATTCACTAATTATTATTTATTCAATATAATATATAATTGTTTAAATGTCTAATTTACAAATTTATTAATAATAATAATAATAACAAAATACAGTCGATCCCTTAATTAAACAATAATATAATATTTTTTTTAATAAATTTTCATTCAATTAAAATAAAACACTACTACTACTACAGTAAATACAGTAATATCATGTCTATTATGTGTGGGTAACCGGTATTATCGGGTAACCGCACCGTTAGTTAGGCATTACGACAGGACCATCGTTGCTCAATACGTATCTCTCCTGTTCGACACTTTTTGTCGAAATTTATCTAAAAAAAAAACAAAACAAACAAAAAATTAATTGTCCGATAATTTAATATCCATTATAACCCCGGTATGGTTGGGGGTGAAAACATACGTGTGTGTGTTTGACATAATAGCCATACGCCCAGATTGGTAGTATACAGGTCGACATAAACATGGCAAAGCTGCCCCAAGTGGGCTTCCAGTATTGAAAATAGGTGGCCCGCATGGCCATGAATCGTTGGACAGCCGGATCCAACTAATGGTATGTGTGTGTGCGGGTAATAATAATAATAATAATAGAAATATATATATATAATTATACAATATATTACACATACAACCGTTAGACTAATACACACACACACTAAACACCCGTAGCCACAAATAACACTGCCCGTTGCTGACCAGTATACTGGCCCCGTAGCGGCGGGAATGGCCACTTGTTATTTTGTTGGTCGGTACAACTCAACAACAAAACACTACTAATAAAACAGGATTTATATATATCGACTCCTATTATATGATGGCCAGTAATTGACGGGTACGTGTGTATGTGTGTGTGTGGTTAGTATCACTGGTCACTGGCCGTTAAAAATACATACAATTTCCACGTGTGCGGCCGCTTTGTACGGATTATAGTTAAGCCGATTGTATTCGGCTTTCAATCGCTGGCGAATTCGGCCCGCCGTCTCACTCGGTCAACCTCTTCGGGACTTTCGTGATACTGGGGTTTGCCGTGCCATCCGAATTCACTCGACATGTTGTTGTTGGTGTCAATAATGCTGGTCATCATTGCGGAAATCGGGAGTCAAACAAAAACAAAACAATTATATTGTGATATATATATAAATCAATATTGGCCTCATGTTTGTCGGGGGTTATATCGGGGAGAGTGGGGGTGGGTATGGGGCGGGCTAATGAGTAATTAAAAAAAAACACTTACCAATTGATTTGGTTATAATAATAATAATAATAATAATAATAATTAGTTAGTATAACAACCAGTAATAGTAATAATATTAGTTAATAATTATGTTTTATAGTTAATCAATGGTTGTATACAACAAAACAAAACAATAACAACAAATATGTTTTGCACCCATACATAAACAACGTTACACACACATTTATAATAGTAATATACAATATATAKAGGTACAGTGCTATACAAATAGTATGAAAAACTATGTGATAGTTTTTCTAAAAAGGGGTCGGGGGGTTTACATAAAAATAAWGTATACTTAAAATATACAGTATATATATATCGTAACGCTTTATGTGTGTGTGAAGTTTTTTGATATGATTTTTTTTAATACATAATATTTTGAATGTAAATATAATACACATGTGTTTAGTGTTTAGGAAAATGATCACCAAATCAATTGATCCATCAATTGATTGATTGATTGAATCAATTCAATTGAGATACACATTGAGAAACCTGATGATGAAAAAGTGTTTTTCCGCCGCTATTAAAGTGGCCAACAGTTCGCGGCTATGCTTTTCGACTGTCGCGGCGGCGGCGGCGGCCACCAATCGGTGTCATCAATTAGTGGCCATCAATTGTCATCATCATCATCATCATAGACACCAATGCTGCCATCACAATCAGCGAAGATACTATCACWAYAATGTTGATCMTGTCGGTCGGAGGATACCAYCGTCAATGGACACCAATAATGATCATCGCCGAAACCGTCCCACACACGGCCAGCAGCAGCAGCAGCGGTCACCGCCGCCAATCATTACTCCTTACGACCGMATGTTTCCGTGGACATCGAGCCTAGAGTTTGCCCGCAGTATCTACGAAAATATTGTYTACTTTGACGGCCATTTGTTGGCCATCGACAAGCCGTGGGGTGTCGGCATACATCGCGTCARCGGAGCCAATGTGACCAATAAGTCCGGACGCCATGAGTTGGACATTCAAGTAAAAGGTTCGCCAAACTATTGTCTGACCGATGCGTTAGATCTGTTGARACAACTATTGGACTGCAAAAAGTTGAACTTCGTTAAGACYATCGACCGGAATATGTCGGGCATTGTATTGTTGGCCACCGACGAMATGACTGTCAATCGGGCTCAGCGAGCGTTACGCCGATCGACTTCCATGGAGGCGCCGGCCATGCGATTCCTATGTRTTACCAGCGGCTGGCCAACAGTCAGCAACGGTGGCAAAACGTTTCGGGAACGGGTAGGCATCAAACTGGTCGAACTCGATGAACTGGGCGATCACAAACACCCGACAATTATATCGGCTGCACAGTTGACTAACTCTATGCGCCGMCGTCAYGAWCCGCAATCTGATGGTATGGWAGTCAAGCCGGCACTGGTCGAACTGAGGACAGTCGACATTAACAAATCATTGGGCGTAGGAGCCGTCGAATTGGCCACCAATGTACTAAAATATGGTTTTATTAGTTGCTATTTGGCCAATAAGGCATCGTTTGTTTTAGGTATGTCCTACTAATAGACAATAGAAAATAATGGCCGATAATTACCTGTTAATAAAGGGGAACTCCTAATTTTTATTTATTGTTTTTTTTGAAAGGTGACACTCGTTTCGCCCATCAAGTCAAGCACGTACTGGGAATGTCCACTGCCATCAGTCACAAACAGGTAAACTTCTTTGACACTGTGGAACCATTGTCTGAGAAACTGTGCCGACAGTTGTCGGTCAGTGCCAATGGTCAGATACCGGTGCTTATACACCATAACCAATTGGAACTACCCATGTATTTGAGTCGAAAACAAAATGAAAAACAAAATTTGGTTATCCAGTGTCCGAAACTACCCGATTATTTTCAATGGACACTCGACCGATTAAACTTGAAGGTACCGTTACCGCCGCCGCCTACCTGTCCTCCTCAGCGACCGCTAGATGCCTTAACCTCTACTACTACTACTACTACTACTACTACTACTACTACTACTACTACTACTAGCGATACTAATAATAGTAATAATAATAATAGTGACACTAATGGTTAATATACTTATTTTTTTTAATAATTTTTTCAATTATGCATTTAATATAATGTATTATTTATAATTTTTATTATTAAATGTAAATTACAATACTAATTTGTTAGTCATTATGTAAAAATTTATTATCATAAAATAAATAAATATTTTAAAAATTGACCGAGGTTATTATTATATAGTATAGATATAAATTATATTGAATTAAATAATAAAAATTAATTTTTTTAAAAATCTATTATTACAAACGGGAATATTATATAAAATTTATTAAATGTTTAATAAATATTTACTTTCGGTGTTTAATTAATTAATTAATTCAATTACTATTTTAAATCTTAGAGTTAGTTACAGTATATATATTAATATATCATATATATAATTTTGTACTTTAACTAATTTTAAAATTAAGCTTGATAATGTATCAACATAATTGAATTGTCAAAAAAATAATTTTTTGATAAAGTTTTGAATGTAATATATTCTGCATATAAATAAATTATTTAGTATTACATTGTCATCGAAACACTACTAAACTGTCACCAATGTCCTCCTCCCCTCTCCCTCCCAACTAAACACATGTATTTTAAAGTGAAAGAAAAAGAGGACAGTTATGTGAAGGGAGAGGGAGAGAGAAAAAAAAACTACAAGTGATGAATGGGATACCGATATTTCAAAAAAATATGTATTCAATACCATTGGGCCCCCCCCCCATTGGCTTATTAAAAAATATTATATGTATATATACAGTATTATACATGTAATCTCATTGGATCACCATAATAAAATTATTATTATAATATAATACCCTATATAGTATAATTATATATATATATATATATATATATAAAAATGTGCTTGAATCTATAATGAACTAATTTATATAGTACTGTATAAACTATATCTAATATAGTACACAAAATTATCAATAGATTGCTGTATAATAATAATAATAATAATTTATTTTTTTGACAACTTTGTTCAAGATCATTTTTATTGTTGTTGTTGATGAAAATTAATAAATTATGTTTATAATAATTATCAAATTAAATTTAACTAGTTTAATTTTGTTTTAAAAAAATAAATATATATTATTTTATATATTTAATTATTTAAAAAAAAACTTAAATTTAAGTTATCAAATAATATACATGTATATATATATATATATATATATATATATATACATAAAACTTGTCAAACTACTATTAACTAGCTTAGACTGTATATACAATACTATATGATTACATACACTATTAAATATACAGTCAAATCATTATTTTTATTCAACCAAAAAAAAAATAATTGTATGACATTTTATATATGCATTGTTTAACTTATAAAAAATTATTATTATTATTATTATTGATGTCATACTACAGTATATGACACACATTATAATATTCACGTAATACTAAATATTTAATATATATATAGTATTACTGTATTTGTTTAACGCAATTGTTTTGTGTATTACTAGTATATTAGCTATTATTAAATGGTTTCATATATTTTTTTGAGGTGTAATTTATGGCCAGAAAAATGGTGGGTTTGTTATGTGTGTTATGTTATGATTGCATTAAAATAAACACTATATGTATGTATAATATTGAGTGAATAATAATAATAATAATAATAAATAAATAATATTATTATTATTACCGATACTATTGTTATTGTTATTCCCGAAACCGAAACCCAGTGTTAATCATAAACACAGTGTTAAGCGACGGGTGTGAGGACAGGGAGAGGACTCTTTTGGATGGATGGTTAGGTGTTTAGGTTTACCCAACAGGTCATGCATAACACATGCACCTACTGTTCCCGCGTCATACCAGTGCTGTCGCCCGCAAGCGATTTGTCGGCTACCGATTCACAGCCGCCGCCGCCGCTACTCGACGGCCATCAACTGACATTAACACGTGATTTTTGTTCGGCCGAATGTCTTCAGAAACATCACGTGAAAGAAAATCAAAAACTGAAGAAAAGTCTATCGTCGACACTGTCGATGACCACCACATTGCCCGCCGCCGCCGGCAGTTCGCCGTTAGCCGTTGTTGTTGCCAATGTTAACTCGTCATCGGCGACATCTCAGCAGAGGACAGATCAGCAACAAATGTCAACTACTAATAGTAATAACAATTTGACGCCCGCGTCGTCACCGGCCTCAGTGATGATGGCCACCGTCGAGACCAATATGATCAACAACAACAACAACAATACAAACTCATGCAATAGTGTTAACAGTATGGCCACCACTACCAGTCCGGCAGTCGCTGCCCATCATATCGGTACCGGTCTGTCGCCGGCGACCATGAGGTTATATAAGCCGCCGCGTGTCAGCCAAAAACGTTTGACAACTGGTCCGAGTTTTCAGTACGAACTGTTCGACCAGTTCGACTGGAATCAGTACTTGGAAGACGAAGGCGGCCGACCCGCACCCGCCGATTGTTTTAAACAGCACTCGAATCCGCCGACCAACGAATTCAAGATTAACCAAAAACTTGAGGCACTGGATCCCCGCAATCCGACCAGTACATGTGTGGCCACTGTTGTCCACTTTATTGGTCCACGTTTGCAGCTCAGGCTGGACGGATCAGATAATTCGAACGACTTCTGGGAATTAGTCGACTCGGAGTCGATTGCGCCGATCGGCACCTGCGAGAAGTCTGACGGTTTGCTTCAGCCGCCGCTCGGTTTTCGCAAAAATCCTTCTCATTGGCCGACATTCCTGTGCCAGATATTGACCGACGCCGACATTGCACCCGACAAGGTATTCAAGCCGACTCCTAGGGCGCCGAAAAGCAATAAGTTTGAAGTCGATATGAAGTTGGAAGCCGTGGACAAGAAAAATCCCCGATTGATATGTCCGGCCACTGTCGGCGAAGTGGACGGGGACAACATTTTCGTAACGTTCGACGGCTGGAAGGGTGCGTTCGACTACTGGTGTCGCTATGATTCGCGCGACATATTCCCGGTCGGCTGGTGTCAGCGCAGCGGACACCCGCTACAGCCGCCCGGGTCTAAAGGGAAAGGTATGTCTATTGTTGTGTTTAATTTGTTTTTTGTTTGTTTGGTTAGTACTGTTATGTAACTAAGTATTTATTTTTATCGGCCCAACAGTGCAACCGGTGACCAAAAAGGCTAAAACTCAGGCCACGAACAACAATACAAATTCCGATCAAAAGGTATCGGAAAACGGGTCGTTAAACACAAACAAAGTGAATGCAAGTCATCCGAATACTAGAACCAGTACAGCGTCGGCCGGCACTCAGGCCAGCGGCGCAACGCCGCCGACACATCAGTTAAATACCCGAAACGCAAGCACTAATATTGGCCAACAATCGGTGTCCAAATCATCGAATACGACTACTAATACTAATAATACCGCTACACATACGACGAGGACAACTAACGGCTTTAAAGATGAACTACGAATTGATACCTCCTCTCTGGGCAACGGCTCTGCCGCCGTCGCCAACACCACCACCAAAGCCAACTCATCAATGTCTTCATCATCGCCGGTGGGACAGTTGACTCCTAATAAACCTGCACTGAGTCCGAGACAGTGTTCACCCGGTTAGTAAACAACTCCTTAGTTTCATAGCGTATATTTCATTAATGTATTTCAGTTTGTGTTTATGTGAACCGTTTGTGCCATTGCGGTCCATACCTGAGCCTACAATCGGTAAAACGTTTGCCCGAAGCGTTTGGTCCGGGATCACTTAACAAGACCTTGCAGGACACTGTCCAGGCTTTTGTCAATTCGGCCAGCGATCTGCGAACAGCTTTCAATCTGGTTAGGCCGGGTAACGGGCGGCTAGTTGTTACGGCCAAAATCGGCGGCCGTACCAGCTTCCGAAAGATGCCCCATCTGAGTCGGGAGTCAACATTTTGGTCATATCTTCAACAACTGTTAGAGGATCTCAAATGCTGTCCGAACCTGTTGTCCATCAGGAAACTCGAGACAGGAAAATGTGATAATTGTTTGACAAATAGTAATAGTAATAATTTAGTTAATAATAATAATACTAATAACGGGACAAAAGTTAAGCCCGAGTTGTATGAAAGCAACCAAAAGACCAAAAATACTTTATCGGTTGCGACCGTCAAAACCGAACCCAAAGCTGTCCAATCGTCTGAGACACAGACAATCGGCACTCAGTCGTCGTCATCGACGACGACGACGACGGCGTCATCATTATCTATGAAGCGCCGGAACAGTTCACTTATTAATGATAATAATAACAATTTCAAGTCATCGACAAATACCAGCACTGATTTGAATAGTACTGCAAGTAGTGGTGGTTTTAGCCGAAGTACCGCTAATACTACTACTATTACTACTAATAATAATAATACTACTACTAATAAATCGCCGAAACTGATGTCGACATCGTTGATGTCGTCGGGTTCAGACATATCATCGATTAGTAGTTCGCCATCGCCTCAGCAGCAGCAACAGCTGAAGAGATCGTCGGCAGCGCAAACACACTACCATCAGCAGCAGCAGCAGCACCACCACAACCATCACCAACAGCAGCAGCTGCATCAACAACAACATCATCGGTTTGCACCATCGACTCCGGTACCGTCGTCATTGGCAGCGGCATCAGTCGCCCATTCAATGACCATAACACCGATACCGGCTATACCTTCGGCGGCTGCTTCGCTGCCACCGTTGTCGACAAATCCAGCCGATTGGACCATCGATGACGTAATCAGACACTTGATAACAGTTGATGTGTCGCTTGAATCGCACGCCGAAACGTTTAGAAAACATGTGAGTTGTTTTTTGATTGATTTATTTATTTTTATCGGTAAACATTGACATTTATTTTTTACGATTAATTTTAGGAAATCGATGGCAAAGCATTCCTCCTATTGAACAGTGATATGATGATGAAGTATATGGGCCTCAAGTTAGGTCCGGCCCTTAAAATATGTAATATCACTGAACGTCTCAAGTCTAACAACAAACGTCTATCAAATTATCATTGAAATTATTATTATGTGATGAGAGACCAGACATAACAAAACAAAAACAAACAAAAAAAGAGATAATAATTTAATGCAATTTTGTGTTATTTTTATTTTAGTAGTAATGGTTATTATACTGTATGTTATTGTTTTTCATTTTTGTGGATAGTTATGATTTTTTTTGTGAAATTATTAATTTAGAGATTTTTTTTTAAAAAAATGATTATTAATAGCCCACCTCCTCTATCTCGCTCTTACTTTACCTCCATTTGTTTATTATTATTAGTAGTATTTTTTTTATTAATTCAAAAAATAACATTTAATTTAATTATTGTTTATAAATTAATAATTTATATACGCGAAAAACAAAATTATTATTATTATTATTATAGGCTATTTCGTTGTATTTGAGAGAATTAAAAAATAATTGATGATAATTTAGTAATAATAATAATAATAATTAGTTATTTTTTATAATTATATTTTTTTTGTCAATCATTCATCCAATGTTTTTTTTGTTGATTTAAATTTTATCTAAAAAATTTCTAGAGATAACAACAAAATTATTATTATTTTCTAGCCGTAATCGACATCATCACCACTACTCATGCAATTATTGTAATTACTGGTATATATATTATCCGTACCGGTAATTAATACCTGTCACCCCCTCCCACCCCACCCCCGCGCTACTCGAAACACATATTATAAATCATACCATCATTTATATATATATATATTATTGTTAACTCTATGCCACCTAATTATTTAATTAGTTAGGGACCTAATGATTCAATTGTTGTATTGATTATTATTAAATAAAACAAACAAAAAAATATCTATTTTGACACAAAATAATAAGACAAATATATATTATATACGGTATATATATATATAATTGATATATAAAACTTGTTGATAAAATGATAAAAGTTTAGCAATTTTTATTATATTATATGATTTTTTGTTTTGTTTGAATTGTAAATATAATAATTATTGATTAAAAAAATGCTATATTTTGTGGTATATATATATATATTTAAAAAAATACATAAACTAATAATACTAATAGCACTTACAGCAGCACTCAGATATTAAATTTATACACACTTTCCTGAAACAACATACCGTTCCCCTTTCACGGCCTGCAACACACATATTAGGAGTGATTGATAACATTTATAACATAGTATACGGTATATACAGTATATTATAATTTAGTTATAAATTTTTTTAAATACAAATATAATAGTAATCACATATTTTTTGAAGTAAAAAATAACTAAAAAATATTTTTTTTGAATTATAATGAATGTATTGAATGATAGGTATATTATTACTGTATTATTATTATTATTATAAAACCAAATTGTAATTTTCTAGTTATGTATGATTTATATTTTGTTGCTGTAAATATATTTGTATAAAACAAACAAACAAACAAACAATTGTTTTGTTGATTTGATTAATAATTTATATGATATATATATATATATAAATATAATTAATATGAAATTATTTAACAAAACAAACAACAAGTCATTATCTATATATTTGATTAAAAAAAAGTAAATATAATTTTTTCATTATAAAACAAAACAAACAAAAATGTTTACAAAGTTTTAATTATATTAACTTTTTTTAATTTAATTTCATCATTTCACACACAAAAAAAATTGAAAATGTTTACTTTTTTGTTGTTATTAAAATTACAAAAAAAAACAATAATTTTATTATTACTATTAATTTTTGTCTAAATCTTCGAGAGAAAAAAACAAATTATAAATTCAATTAATTTTCAATAAGTTTTCTTTTTTTTCTGTTTTTATTATTGAATTGATTTTTCTTTTTAAAATTAGTTTCATTATTATTATTATTTAAAATAAATAAATAATTAAAAACTTTTTAATAAACATTTGGAGACAACATACCTTGTATTTTTGTGATAATAAAAAAAATAATAAAAACATTATTAATAATATTATTATTGAATTGTATCTTAAATTTTATTGCCAATTAAAACCCTTTAACTTTTGGTCTCAATTGTCGTCTAATTTTTTTTATTATAACAAAATATATTTTACTATAAAATTACTGTAATTTTTTTCAATAAGTTTTACCTAATTTTTTTTTGTGGGGGTTTATTATCATAGAAATTATTATTATTATTATTTATTTGCAAATTCAATAACCGGTATCAATTATTTTTAGTGTCCACAATTTTGACGCCACAATAATTGTATGTTTCAAAGTAGTTTATAAATTACCGGTAATTATAATTATTGATTACCGGTAAATGAAATTATATATAAGTCCATAAAAAATCAGTTATGAATTTTTTTAAATTATATTTTTTTTTAATTACTATATTTGTGATTAAATTACCACATAATCAATGACTAACAGATATCAGATATACAGTATATTAACAGTTAGTTAATTGATGACAACAACAACACCAACATCTATACAATCATTTGGTGTCAACTGTTTGTTGTTGTTGTTGTGTCTGCGGAACAGTTACACCCAAATACTTGTCCTGATCTTTAATCCAGTCGTCGATTTCGGATTTTTTCTGTTCGTAAACTTTCTGTTCGGCAATCAGTTTCTGGTGATAGGCATCGAGTTTGTCGTCTTTGATTCGTTCGCAGTATTCGCGCGTTAGTCGACGTAATGTCGACTTTCGGGTAGGTTTGACCACTATTTCGCCTAACGGTGGCGGCGTATAGTCGATCTTCAAGGTTTTCGTGACAAACTCGAACCGTTCTCTATCCGTATAGTATAGTTCGTTGAGCATACGGCGCCGTTTCTGTACCATTACGTTCTGGTGGCCTTTCAAATGGGCCGCCTATTTACCGAACAGACAGTTATCGGGTAGGGGGGGGGGTAATTGAAATACAATATTAATATGACTGTCCCACTCCTATCACCCAACCACCCCTCTGGACACTTACCCACCAGTCCACTTTGTAGAAGTGATGCAATAGGTTACGTATCTTAACAGTGTAATTGGTAACTAAACAAAAAAATAAGATAAGATATAAATGTATTGTTTAATTAGATTCTTGGGTATGGTATGGGAACGGTATGTAAACTACTACTACTACTACAACTACTACTGACTTCTGGCCTCCGGTGAGATGGTATCGCATGGATTTCGTTGCATTACTTTCATGATGTGATACTTCTGGTATTCGACAATATCTTTCTGTAATTAAAAAAAAAATCAAATCAATTGATGGTAATTATCTAATATAGTCTAATTAGTAGTAGTAATAGTTACCCGACGGGCAAACTCAAGTGTAAACTGTCGCCGGACGGGTTCGGGTGCACTGAAAAACAGACAGACAATTATTACAACTAACTGTTAGGCCGACCGACCGACCGAACTGTTTGGTCAAATACTTTTCAAGCTCTTTGCAATACATGGCGTCCAATACCAGTGCCTTCTTATCCCAAGTGCCGATATCTTGGACGGCATCACCCGATCGGATATGTCCGGGCAATCGTTTTTGGCGTTGCCAATAAAACGGTAAAAAATCGTTTGGCCAGCTATAAAATTTATAGTATCTACGACTAAATCGGCGACTAATGGCCAGTGGGAATGGACAGTCGCCTGTGTTGTTGTTGTCGTTGGTCATCATCGGCAGCCGATGATTGTTGACTACGGCGGCGGCAGCAGCGGCTATAATGTTGTTGTTGTTGCCGCCGATGACCAACTGATGGCGTAGTGAATGTATGGCCGATAGAGTTGATCTCAAAGTCATTGTGTGTGTGATGTATATGAAGACAATCAATGAAAATCACTTGATTTGATCCAATGGATTGACAAATAGTTTGCAATTTGCAAACCAATTGATTGATAGAATAAAACACAAAAATAATAAATATTAACAACACATGTGATCATCAATACCTGTACACACACTGTATAAAACTGTTTCATTATAAACAAAACCAAAACAATAATGCCCTCTACGTTATGATACATTTATTTAATTTTTTTTTTGACACTACTCTTAAATTACGTTATCATATTTTTGCTTACACAAATAGCTTAATAGTAATAAATATGATAACGTAATTTAAGTGTAGTGTCAAAAAAGTTAAATAATTGTTTAATAGATTGGCTGGCGATTATTGTTTTGGTTTTGTTTATAATGAAACAGTTTTTTTTGTATATCATGCGCACAGTTTTGTTGACATAATAATAATAATTTAAAATTTATTTATACCTAATAATCAAAAACATTTTATTTATATTTTACAGTTTTTAAAAATTAATTTTTTGATATAAATATATTATTTATTTTTTTTTTAAAAAAATACTAAAATGATTGATACATATAATATGATTTCATTCAGTATTACTTCACCAACAGTGAGACAAACAATAGATAGTCAGAAAAAAACAGTACAATCACTGTATAAAACAGTTATTAAAAAACAACATTTAAGTTATTTAATTAATAAACAATCAATTTGTGATCAATCGGTGTCTAATCAAGTGATGGATAATACAAATAATGTTAATATTACAGAAAGTTTTAGAAATTTACGATATTATTTAAATATATTCATCGATGAGTTCAATCAATATCTGCAAACCAACGAAATCCAGGGGTAAATAAAATAAGTTTATTAAAAAAAAAATATTTTCCGATTAATTGTCATTAATTTATTATGTTATTTGTTCCGTCCGGTTGTGTCCATAAAAAAAAAATAATAGATATATACCAATACAAGAGATCGCAGCTATAACCGCAACTATCGGTACATTATATGTTGAGTCACAAGTTGGCGGCGATGGCGCCGATGACACCAATGAATTGCACGAAATTAATGCCGAAGATATTGAAGGGCCGGTCGTTAGCAGACCGATAGTCATACCATCACTGCCACCATCTCACAGACCAATCTCTCGAATATTTCGTCCATTTATTGGTCGCATTCGGAGATCAATCGCTCGATTAGTGTTTCGTCCATTTAGAGGATTAATAAGACAATTACATACATCAATGATGGCATCTATTAGGTCTATAACTCCTACCGAAACATTGTCGTCTCCATCAATGGCCAACTATACAGAAAACGTTTCGGCAATAGCCGGGCCATCGCATACAAGTGGCCAAATCGGAGACAACAGTACTTCTGAGCGCAAAAGACTCTGCAATCAAGAGTGGTCTATATATGATTGTATTAAAAACATAATAAAATTGTCATCCGATTTGTTGACCATAGATAATAAGTAACTAATCAATTATATATATATATAATATTTTTATTGTAAATATTAAAACAAATAACTTATTTATGATTTATAATTATTATTATTATTATTTTCACACAATTAGTCCGCCGATTATTCTTCAAGAGTTAAGACCACAGTTGGAAACACTAAGACATTGTCTGTTTTGTATACTACTCAACGATCATTTGCTAACAAATGTTTTCAAGTGGTTGGACCGTCCGATTCAAGAATTGTTGGCATTGTATCCACCAGAAGATGAAGAACTAATGGCAAACAATGTGCCGAACGTAGACATCGAAGATGATAATCGCGATAGTGGCCGATCATCAGCCGATAGTTAAATATGTATAAAAACAAAACGGATATCAAATTGATTTTTTTTAAATATATATATATATATTATTGATTAATAGTTTTTATAAATAGTTTTTTTTTATATTATACTAAATTGTTTTTTAAAAGAAATATAATAAATAATTAAAAAAATTTTACATTTTTTTTATATAGCGTTTAGTATGCACTTTACGTATATGACTGGCCAGTCCTGACTTATGATTGGCCCGATGTTCACATTCTGGCCAATGGCACGGATACTGTCGTTCGTTTTGATGCATTTGCTTATGTATTCGTAGACTTTCGGGTCGCTTAAATGCCCGCTCACAACCGGGCCAATCGCACTGATGAATAGCCGGTACATCCACATGAACGCCCATATGTTTGTTAAGATCACCGTGATATTTCTGGACATAATCGCATCCGGGCCATGTACACTGTTGGGGATAGAAGTATCGTTGCATCGACTTGTAGGTCATACCGTGTTCGGCTTGCCGGTGCTTATATAATCTGGGTGTACTGGTAAACACTAGTGGACAGTTGTCTATTTTACACTTGAATTGATTGATACCACCCGACTGATGCCATTCCATATGATAGCGATATTCGCGTCTGGTTTTGAATAACCGATTACACCGTTTGTTGTTAGCATCGGCTACGCCTCCGCTGTAATCGCACCGAAAGTGTAGTAACGGATGAACTGTTATTAAATGTTTGTAAAACTTATGCATTGTATCGTAGGGTCGGCCGCAGCCGAACGTCGATTCCGGACACTGATAGACACGTTTGTCGGCATCAAAGCATTCGCGCCGTTGTTCAACATTTAGCGGACATATCGGACCTCGTTCTCCGCCACCCGAAAACTCTTTCTTCTTCTCCTTTACCGCCGTTGACGACGGCATACCAGTCTTAAGTATAGCGCCCGACAGGTGTCGTCGCTGATGTCTACGCAGCGAATCCAGTCGCCGATAAATTCGTGGACAGCCTGGTTGGTCGCACGTGTAACGCGCGGTCGAATGCGAACGAGTCATGTGTTCGTAGAATTGCCGATACGTTGGATAACATCTGTTGTTTTTTGTTCCCTCACACGACTCGTGCGGACACACGTAGGCGTTGAACCCGAAATCAAAATGTTTTTCCAATTCATCCTTCAATTGTTGGCTATTATTATCGTTGACTTCGATATTGTTGTCGACAAAGACAACACTCTTCCGTTGAAATGTTTGCCACTGTTTTTTCGATAGACTCTTAATCTTATGAATTCGTTGTCGATGTAGATTCAGACTAATCAGACGTTTGAATCTCATTTCACAACCCGATTGGTCGCAAGCGTACAATTTGTACGGATGAACGCGCGCTAAGTGTTCGCTGAACGCCCGATAATTCGGATAGTGTTTGCGGCAATCGGTTTCGGGACATATAAAGCCATCCAATTCGTTGTCCCAAAATTTTTGCCGTTCAGCATAGGTCGAGCCGTAACTGGACTTCCACTGGACGTACGCCATGTCTTCAGCGGCGGTTCTTTCACTTTTTGTCTTCTTCTTCATCGCCAATGACGACGACAATAACGACTCGTCGGTAACGATAGCATTGGTGTTGTTGTTGTTGTTGTTGTTGTCGTCGTCGCCTTCATCCGAGTCCTCGTCGTCGCCACCACTTTGTGGTCGATAGTCGTCGTCACCGCCGCCGCCGTCGTCGTCGTCATCATCGGTAGAAACTTCGTTCAGCACTTGTGTATTGTCTTTACGGGCGGTTAAGTCATCCGATTTGTTGTCAACTTTGCCGCCGACGACGACGACACCGACACTGTTGTCGTCGATGACCTCATTGGTAAAACAACATCCACTGTCGTCCACCACTTTGGACGTACGGACGACGACTTTCAGGTCTTTCACTATCGACTCGTGCCGTTCGGCGCACACACCTCTCAACTGGCGTCTCACTCGCTGATAGTGGTCATCAGTGGCCAACATTTTAGCCGCAACCGACGACTCCAGTGCATCCAATCTAGCGGTCAGATCGGCAAACAGCCGAAGCCATTTGTTGGCCAATTCAAGTTGTTTGAGTAGTCGACAATTTTCGGTCCACAATTCGTCCACAATGTCGCCGACGGTTACCGTAATCGACGGCAACTTTTTTGATGACTTTTTTGATATTTTCTTTGATTTCATTTTAATTATAATTAATTAATTAGTTATTTATTTAATGATTAAATCAATTCATTATTATTATTATTATTATATAATTGAAAATCAGATTTTGTTTATTATTTTTGTTTATAATTTAATTTACAATTAATTTCAAATTAAATACTAATTGTTTTTGTATTTTCAAAGTTATTATTGAAATACAAAACTTAAAAATCAAAATAAAAACATTCATTCATATGATGTCATCATTGAATACAATACACTATAAAATTTTACATATAGTGACTATAATATACAGTAGAGTTTGAAACAAAATAATTTTTTTGAGGGAATTTCAAACAAAAAATTAAAAGTTATTCCCCAATAAATTCCCTAAAAATTTATGTTTTTTCATCCGAGAAAATTTAAGGAAAATATGTTTTGTTTTTTTTAAGTAACAAACGTTTATTATCATATAAATTAAATTAGTAATTTTTTGTAGAATTAAATTAGTAATTTTTATGTATAATTAAACTAGCAATTTTTTGTAAAATTAAATTAGTAATTTTTATGTATAATTAAATTAGTAATTTTTTGTAGAATTAAATTAGTAATTTTTATGTATAATTAAACTAGCAATTTTTTTGTAAAATTAAATT